TAAGTAATTCACTGAGTTTCTATATATACAAAATATTACATTAAAGTTTCAAAAATGCATAGACGAAATAGATCTAGATCCATTTTATTACTTAGAAACCAACAATGAAAGGGTGGGGTAAGATAATGCGACCTTTGTAAGAGTAGATCTAGATTTATCCTTGATTATCAGATGTGTTATTTGTTCACTAAACAACTGAAGCATATTACGCACAAGGAAAAACACATGGCAGTCTTTTCATCTTTTATAACAACTAGTCGACATATAGACTACACACTAGACTAGCCCTAGAGCTATCTGACCAATTCAATACACACTGGTCTGCTGTCCAACTTTTAGTGTTCTACTCAAGTTCAAGCTTGTTTACTTTTAGGCAGAGAGGGAGGGGGTGGATGAAAGTGTTACTTTTTTTCTAGGATTGGTTACCTGAATGCTGAGAACGTAACTGTAAGTGTAGTCATTGTAGATCAGGAAATCTAGATCTCAGTACATTATGGCAGATTATAGGCCAATGCTTCAGTACCTTCTATCAAAGGTTTAACTATTTGTTTTAGTTGAAACTATTAAAAAATGTACTCTAGATTCTCCTGTTATTAACAAATTATAGTTTGGCGCTATGACTAAATTGAAACCACTATATATTGACTGATAACGCTTCAGATTCCCAATATAAACTAACTGAAACTAAGCACGATGTAAACACAACAACCATGTGACTCTGGGCCGGGGGGGGGGGGGGGGGGGGGGGGAATCCGGAACAACCTCATTAAACCTATCTACTTCTATGTCTAGATAAAGAATCTATATTTAAATCTACAATAGGAAGTCTAAATTGATTAACTTACTAGACTAGATATATTTTTCTTGTGTCTACAGCTGAGTAAAAGTAGCAGAAATAAAAACTTACGATGTTATGTGATACCTTATTAAATATAATTACCTATTGTATTAATAGCTACCTATACATAGTGCTGTGATAAGCATGAGAGCTAGATCTAAATATGACAAACTAATCTAGGATTCTAGAGTCTAGCAGACTCTAGTCCTAGTCTCTAACAGAAGATTGAATTATTTTCTAGCTACTTCTTTTTAGTCATGTAGACTAGATCTAGAATCTAGATCCTAGTTCTAAATTTAGATCTACTCATCTAGGCTAGATCTAGACTATTTTACTAGACTGACTGAGACTGTAAGTGATACTTATGATACTAATTAAGTCACAAGTGTCATACTCATATGATTATCATTATGATACAGTCATACTGTGTAAGTCTCATACTACACTACACCTACTGACATCATAGTCATACTACTCATACTCATAATGACATAGTCATACTATAAGATACAATAAATAAATAACTAGTAACATATTACATAGATCTAGTAACAAAAAAATAACATGAACATCTCTAGACTTTAGAGTAATTAGAGTCAAGTTCTAGATCTAGAGTCTAGTACTAGATCTAGACTTTACTAGAGTAGAGTAGAGTAGAGTATAATAATTTATATAATAATTTTAGTCAGTATAGAGTTACAAGTTACAGTCTAGACCTAGAATCTACTATTATGTAGACTGCAGTCTAGAACTAGATAAATATTTGATTATTTCATATATATAGATCTAAATAAATTAATAAATAGATTAAATATTTTATGAATACTAGACTCTATGTACTTCTCTAGTCTAGTGACAACTTTCTTACTCTTGGTATCTACACACGAATGACACGATCTATGATGTCACTGACCCATAGATATCACGCATATGTTTTACCCCCCAGAAACAACAATGAAAATTACCCAGGCCAATCAACAGTTTTCCATATCTTTTCATCAATAATATTTATCTCGGCCGTGGAATAACCATACGATCATTTCCTTCCATGTGATAAAGATTGGCACACCCATTCATGCCAATCCTCATAATAAGTAAAGTTGATATATCTACATATAAATATATAGCCTGGGTATCAGTGGGTATACGTAACTGTCAAGAGACCGGTAGACAATATTACGATTTTATTATGATTCTATTAATATATTTAGAATATATAGATCTATAACAACTTAACGCGATGTCTAAAGGGCTAGAATCTAGCAGGAAAAAATATGTAAGATGTCTTCTGTTGTTAAAAGTAGATCTAGAAAAAGATTCCAGAGTCTTTATGTAAGAAATTGAAGATCAGCATTTTTTAATTAAAAGCACCCATTTATTTCTCAACTAACTCTTTCTCCATTCTTAGAAATAAAGTATATTTATACTGAGTATTGATAATGCACTTTGCAGTAAAGGTCCATGATCTCTGGTATGAATTTGAAAGCTACTTCACTTTCTAAACAACAAAACTTCTATATATATATATAAATGAAGAGGATCGGACAGTTTTTCGATATTGTCCAATAGCTGTGTAAATAAAGTGGGGACAAATTTGCAAACGTTAACAATTATTAAACGACAACTTTTGTTTATTATTTACCCTACAGAGTAGGACTGGAAAATTTGAATATAGGCTCCTTTAAATGCTCCTCTGCAAGGAAATCTTTATTAAAGGCGAAAGATGTACCCGTTATGCTAAGAATAAAAAGTAACTATAATTATAAATAAATTTGACCCTATTAAAAAATCTTTGATACAAAATAGGTTTAGTACAATATGCATTTATTGGAATATTGATTATTTTAAAGCAACAAAATTATTCTCAGTAACATGCGTAGCGCATCGTGACAAAAGGTTTTGTGTTTATTACTTTAAAAAAAAGATTTAATTTCTGCAATTCATGACTTAAAAAATATCTTTCCTAATTGTGGTAAAGTAAGAGTTTCCCCCCGTGTATTTAACAATGACCATTAATTTGTGTGGGTACTTTACCTTTTATGATTATTCATAATCTCTCAAATATCTTAATAGATCAACCACAAGATATTAAGACTGTTCGCTAAGGTTGAACACACAGTGTAATACATATTTTTATTTTCACATATTAATATCATATGAAAATATGTTGCAGGGCATACTATCTGAGCAGATAGAAAAGATCATTTGGTTTGCCAAAAACAAACGTAAATCAAGTTTGACTAATTGTCTACTTCGATATTATTCACAACCATAAAAATAGGTACCGTATACATTGCGTTTATTTCTTTTCAAAAGTATTTGTGAGGGGGGAGGGGGGGGGGTAGCACTTCATATGTTCGCCTTGGTTGAGGTGGGGGGGGGGGGTAGCACTTTGGTTGGGGTGTCTTTTGTATGTATATTTTAACTTTGTGTATTTAGAATGGATTGATACCTCAGTTTTACAGCCCCCCCCCCCCCCCCCTGCGCGCTATCAAATCACATTTTAAATACTGGCTCCAACTCTGTTTTTCTATTCTTTAAAAAAATTATCCACTTTTATAAGAAATTATAAAATTATTTGAAATTATAAAAATAGGATGCATGCATTTTAGTAACATTATATACATAGTGATTACTGTAATGGCGAAAAATATGAGGGTCAGGGGAGATTATGAATAAAATGCTAAGCTACTCATTTCTAGTTTGATCTTGAACTTATAAACACAGCTTCAGAAGCGTTGACGTGACATAAACATATTGATGAGTTGTAAACGACATTGTGAAGAGCATGAAACGGTATCTCATGAGCCATCCTTCAAAATGCTACACGAGCTTGAATTTTATGTTAAGACACTGCTCTGAAGTGTACGGATGACATTTTGAGAATCTATGACAATGATATAACATATGCCTCTAAAAAAAAAACCGTAAAAGATTCTTTGTAAGAATAAATAGCTGTTAGACTAATGAAACTATTAAGTCCTAGTTCTCCCCTTCAGGAGCTGCCAGCTTCGTTGTCAAAAGTATGAAGCCAGTGTTTTTCCAGATACTCTGAGCATCTGGATCATTAGGATATACTACTAAACTTTTCGGTTTTAGAACTCGATCCTTACTTAAAAAGCACAATTGATTTGTAAGATTCTTTTGTATTAATTTTATATATAGGCCTACTTAGAAAACATGTCTTTTCCATTACTGCAAGCGGCGTCAGCGACAATATTAACTTTAGTTTAGACTAAGACATTTAATGACATTTTTCATCAACTTTAATTTTTACTTAGACATTTAATGATATTTTTCTCGACTTTCTTGCGTCATAATGGTCACCATTCTCCGGACTGGTGTTTGGGCCAATAATATTAACAACTTTTGTGAGTCCAAAAAAAAAATAATACAAAAAAATAAAAATGTTCGCAGCAATACGTTTTAGTTAACACGGAGATATCTTAGGATGATGACAAAGATTCACGAACTAGATGTGTCTCGAATTTCCCTTGCCAGTTCTGCCAATTTCTTTATTAGACTTAATTCTGCAATTATTTTTTTTTGGTACTAGGATGAATAGTGCCCTCTAATTGCAAGAAAACACTTCAATAATTCACGGCCCCTTCCCTTTTTACAAAAAAAAAAAAAATTGGACTGAAGAAAGAATTTCTGAAGCTCAGTCGCAAGAGAACGTTAAGCGTTATCTACAGAACATAAGCGTTTTTCAAGCAATAATTCTTAATATTATCAACGAAACATTATTTTCTAAAAAAAATTTGCTTTAATAAAAATTCACTCCATAAATTTGAATTCTAAATAGACTTTATAAATATTTATGAACATTCATTCCAAAGAAAACCAGACACTTGTGTTATAATTATATATCTTTACGTTTCTTTTCTTTTTCTATAAATCCCCAGCTTGCTGGGCGGGGGGGGGGGGGGGGGGGGGGGCAAAGAAAGCTTGTTTTTCATTTTGGGGTCACCAATGATCAAAGTTTGAGAACTACACCATAAAGACTAAAAACAAAACAACCCAACTTTCTGTGTATTCATCAAACGTTTGCATGGCACAATTTGTTTTCAAGTCAAGTTAGCAAGACTAGATGCCTTTTAAAAATAGAAAAATGATTTTTGCACCATTCAGTACATAAGCAAACTCTATGAAACAAACAAAAGTCCACTTTCCTGTCAGTTTATTGTTTTATCAACAAGCGTGAGTACAAATTAAAAAATGCTGATTATTAGGTATTTATAAATCAACAAAATTTTAAACTAAATGGAAAAAGCAGGCAAAGAATTGTCTTAACTAAAAAGAGTATTGAGTAGAATACCTTGTAGAATGTTTCTTATTTTTAATTTAAAAAAAGAAAATTGCTTGTTGGGTAAAAAAAAAAGTAAATAATAAAGAGAAATCAAAGAACTAAAATACATTGTGAATCAATCAATAAATGTGTACACAGGTAAGACTTTGATTCCAAAGAGTTTGATTTTCAACTACATAAGAATGAACATAGTGGTCAAAACATGTGTATAAACAGTTGAACTATTTCTGACAATGACACATTCTCTGATAAAAATCTTACTGTTCAATGAATGATGACTTTCTTATATATTACTATCACAGGCTGACCCAGGCAATCTTTCACCGTAATGACTTTCACAAAAACATACAATGTTATACTGTAAACTGGAATATAAAATAAATTAACTTTGTACTAGAAGCAATTATTTCAACGAAAGAGTAAATTATCAAATTATCAAACTCCAATAATTAGGATTAAATATTACAAAAACAAAAATAGCAACATTAGCCATTCTTTGTAAGAAAATCAAAAATAAATCTCTCACACAGATTAACTCAATTTGCTTCTTTGTATCAACTAATAAAAAAAAAATGAGCTAAGGTCAACATTTTTTGTTGATCATATATTTCTTCATTACATTTGCACTTTTCATTTAAATATCACATGACTGATTCAAAATAATCATTTTACCTTGATACTTTGAGTCCAAAGTTTTTTTGTTTTTTTTTCACAGTAGTCCCACTGTGGATAGGAGATAGTGTTCATATACTTTTTGACAGTCGCGGACTTTCTGATTTTCATTTTGACTCATCTGGAAAGATATAGGCCTATGTTCTTTACCTGTATGAGGACATGCATTCACTGCACTCACAGAGCACAGAGTTTTTGTCCAGAGTTCTTTGAAGAGAGGATTTCAGCCTTGACTTTACCCACAGTTTGATTTGTCTATTTCTTACAAAGTACGTGAATACAAGAACAATCTGTCATTGTATTCTCTATTAATGTCCACAACAGTAACAGGGTTTTTGTTCATAACTTTCACAAGTCAATTGAGACAATGATTGTCTTCTTTTTCCTCCTTTGCCCAGCCCACTATTTTGAAAAGAAACAAACAAGTAGCAGAGCCTTTCATTAATTAGTATATACAGAGCTTTTAAATTAATTTTAATTAGTTTAATAAGTTCAAAATATATAATATATAAATAACTGTTTAGGAACAAAGCCATAAAGTCGTAAAATCTATTACAAGATATGATCTGAGAAATTGGCTTACAGGCTCACTAAGAGATCAAATTTAATAGATGTCTACAATAATCACTAATAAATAAAATCATATTGGTTACAATAGTCAAGAAATAATGAAGTCCATAGTAGTAATGAAACAAACTTGAGTTAAATCCTATACAAACAAAACTTGGGTAAAACAAGCAAAATATGAATAGACTGGAAGACAAAGTTTTAAAAGTAATTATTGCACTTATTGTATTGGTAAAAGAAACTCATTTAAAATTAAATGGCAATAGTTTATATTGCTAAAAACAAAATTATTACAAAAACTGTTTCAAATCATAGCCAAAAGGTGTAAGAGGAATGTAAAGGCATGATAATTAAGCTTATAACAACTGAAACAAACCATCAAGAAACAACTGTCATGAGATTTCTAACATTCATGTCAAAAGTTACTTTAAAACTTTTAACTACTTTTGTATCACATAAGTAAATATATATATATATATATATATATATCAAACTAAAATTGTAATGAAACACATGTCAAAACTAGATTTTCAAATCAAGTAATTGAAATTACTATTATCTTTAATAAAAACCTAACAAGGAAAAAAAAACTTAATTAAAACTTGTAAATAAAAGAAATTTAAAAATACCTTTATCAACATTTTTAACTTATATAAATATACTTGAAGTGTCACAGACTTAACCATTCCTATAAATCTTACAGTTCTATGTGAGTTGAAGCGTCAATAGGTGTGGATTCTTGTTTTAATGATTGGGGTTCCTCTGAAGTGTGGACATGGTTCTTTCCCTCATGTAGCTGTAACTTGCGGATTTGAAGAAGCTGTGCTCTGGCAGCCTCATCTTCTTTCAGTAGTTGGTCTATTAATTCTTCCTTTTCAGTGTCATTGCTTTTATCTTGATCTATTGCATTCTGATTGGCTAAAAAGTTGTTATGTTGATTAAAATATGCATGTGATATATTCCATGAATGATAAGTAGCTAAATTTTAATTCAAACTTGTGGTGAAATAGTTACTATTTGTTTATGTTCGTGTAATGTCAAGAGAATGTGTTCACAACATTGATTTAGTGTGCTACTGCCCAAGTCTCTTTCGTCAGTTCATGTGTCGTTCTAATTTAATATAGCCTTGTTTCAGGTTACTCTTCAGTGTTCTTCTATTTCTTATTACAAAACTATATTTTCCTCTCAGGGGGGATGGGTCAGAATAGTTCAAGTCTAAGAATTGAAATGAATCACTTGGCCCCCAGCCCTCAAAACATAGTTGGCATGTGAAGAAGGAAGGAAAGGTCAGAATATGGTTGTTTGTAAGGTAGTCTTGCAAGGGTATGCCCATTATGGAGCAAAGGCATCTTCGATGGTAGCATTTGAGGAGCTCTAGATGCTAAAAACTACTTAAAGGTAATAAGCACAAATTTTTTTATTTTCTTCAAATTTTGATGCAGCATAAGGTCATTCTCAGAATCACCCAAAATGTATTGAATTGACTATCCAAGTCATTTTTAATATGCATTGCCAGTAAACATTTTTTCTTACCAGTGTTTTCCATTTCTTTGAGTGAATCAGTCATGGCCAGGAAGTCATAATATTTCCCTGGTGCATTCCATGATGCTTGCTCCAAATGTTCTGAAAAGAACAGTGCATAGATACAAACTGGTTTATAAAATACATGTAGTCAGTAAAACAACAGAATGTCACAAAGTAAATACATTAAAAACAATTTAAACATATCTATTTTTACTTACTAAGTAAAGCTACTGAAAAGGTTCATGGCTTTGATGACATGATATTAATATATGGTTTATACAAAATCTTTTTTATCATTAACTTATGTCTAGTGCCAAATAGCTCCACCAGGACAGGATTTCAAGTTAACACCCTCAGTTTGAAAGCCAAATAATTTACCAGTCAGCCACAGAATCAAATTTACTACTAAGATGAAAGCTAGTTTCCTAAGGAGTAGGTTGTAAAATGACTCACTTGAAGGAGGGATCAGTCCTAAGAGTACATCTTTTAGCCAACTCGTGACTTCATCCTCTTTTAGAAGTTTGCCAGCATAATTAAATACTTCAGCCTGTCTGTGGTTGACTAAAGAGATCATAGGCAGAGTTGCAGTCCAGGCATAAGAAGATAATATTTTTATGCCTAAAGTTTTGGGTTGTCTGTCAAATTTAAAATATAATTTAAAAAATACATGCATAATAAAATTTTATTTTTTTTAAAACAAAAGTTTACAGAAGATTATGAACTGAATGTTATCTTTAAACAGACAGAAAGGGAATGAGCAATGAAATATGAATACCAGTGCGAATACAACTGATGCAGTTTGAAGATATGGTAATACAGCCACAATAAAGAGTAATTTCAACATACAAGTAGAGTTTGTGTTATTCAGAAAGTGACTTGACTGAGAAGTCAAGAAGATATAAAAGTCAAACCAATGGATGTGTTATGAAACCAATCAAAAGTAAACAAGTTTCATATGACAACACATAACAAAGAAAAAAAAAAAGAAAGAAAATAAACACAACAAAGCATCAACATTTCTCCATTGGTCTCTCTGCAAATACTGCACAACACAACTTGGGCCCCAAATAACACAACTCTTTAATGTCTAATAGATTCACAGCCAGTTTTGCACAATTGGCAACATGAAATGCTGACTACAAATGCTTCTCCATGGATAACCATAATGTCATATAAACTTTCTGCACCAAACTCAACTCTCTGTCTAGACATTGACTTTACTGGATTCTATTGTGCTGACTGACTCCACACTGTGTTCACAGTACTGGAATTAATATGAATTGTGAATCCTGAAGCGTCTTGACTCTGACATCTTGCTCTATATATATTGTCCCTGAAGACCTTCTCGAAAGCAACAGAACATTGTTAGTTCCTTTTGGGAATAGTATGAGTAGTGTTTGAATTACAGAAGTTTCCTAAAACATTCCCAATTTTTTAGGTTAATGCTCACATATTGCTGGCCTGTGTTATCAGTGTCAACTTATTACACACAAGATTACCACTAGCAGCGTCGTTTTCACAATAATAACAATATTTTAAGCCATTTTTCAATGTTGAAAATTGATGAAAACAATATTTTAATAGAGAACATTTGAATTTAAATATCTCAACAGCTTTAAGAAAGAATGTATTAAGACTAAGAACAATATTGTTATGCAGTGTGTGGGTGTGTTTCTATGGTGACAGTGGGAAGAGGTTAGCTATGCTGTGTGACTGATGCATATTAAGCGGCAGTGTGGTCAGCGGTCTTAGGTAGTACAGACGATTCCAGAACGCCAGTCTGAAAAGACGTGTTTTATTGTAGTGAGTTAGACTTTGTTCAGAATACCATTTTATAATACTACTAAAGTCTATTATATTTATTGCATTTCACCTCAAGTTGAAGTTGTTTATATTGAACAGTGATTTAGTTGTCTATCAACAGTTTAGTGCCACAAGCCAATGACTGTCAACAACTATAAAAGTATTACTACATAGGCCAAAGCCTTGCTAGTTAATACCTGAGTTAAGAGCCAGGCCTGTGATACCATAATGATATTAGAACTACAAGAAAAGAAGACTAATAGATGAATGTTACTTACGCATTCATTGTGCAGAAGATAACATTATCAAACTGTCCAGATAGAGCTATCTTAGTCATCATTTTCATTGCCTCTAAAGAAGCAGTGCTGTTTTTATCCACAAACAAGATTGCAAATGGTAGCTTCTTGGCAAACAATGTCGGAAAGTTGTTGATTCCTAGCTCTGGCTGTAAATAAAGTAAATCTACTTACATAACTACAATAAAAACAATTTGACTTAATAGGTGCATACAAAATGAAAAGAAGAATATACAATGGGATCTGCATTCCAAGTAGGGGCAATAGGGAGTGATTTTGAATTAGAAAAGGTGGATTAGCAACCACTCTGTCTCAAAAAATCAGCAGTGGTGGTCAGTGTTGGTTCAGTGAATACAGCACACTACACAATGTTTGGTCATAAAAAAGAGTGGGAAAGGCACTTTTTTCTTTACAGTACATTACCACTAGAATTAGTAGATCTCATTAATTTCTTTTCAATTTTGATTTACAAATAGTGTATGTGTATTTTTAACAAAGTTTGCACATTCATTTTTTTTCCAGAAGATTAAAAAAAAAGTTAGTAGACCTATTTTAAGCAGGATAAATCTGATGTGAAATCAATTTTCAGTTTCCTTTAGTATTGGAGACAATAGAGTAACATAGATTGAAAGAATGCCCATGAAAATAAAAACATGTTTCTAATTCAGTCTGAATATCACTAGAGCAAGGAAGGCCTGCCTTTATTAACCAGGAAGCTCTCTAATTAATGTGAAAATATGATAAACAAATTACATTTTTTTTTTTTTAAACTAATATTTGAAGTTAATATGAAGATAAAAATCAATAGTATGATCGTGATGATATAAAAACCTTTTGGCTACTTGATCAGTGAAAATTTAAAAGCAAAACTTTTTTTAGAGCATTAGAAAAAAAGTGGAACAACATCTACACAGACATTAAAAAATTCATGCAAATTTTCTTAAGATAAAAACAATCTTTACCAGTGTTTTAAAAGTTGACATCCATGCAAAGTCTCTAAGAGTTTCTTCTGTCACATCTGTCAAAATTCTAACTGGTTTGTTAACATCTTGACGGTTATAGGCAATAACTGCTGGAACCATTACTCCATATTTTTTAGCACTAGGAGGGCAAGCGATATAAGAAAAAAAAAGTTATTTTCTAGATCACATTTGCTCTACTCCTTTAGTACAAATAGTTATTTTAGAAAAAAAAAAGTTGCTCGCTGAAACTAACTTAAAAACGAACAAAATAAAAGCAACATTCTGCACTCCAAGAAATTAAGTAAAATTATAATTAATTATACTCAGCATTCAAAGAATAATGCTTTAATATGCAATTTTCCCATACTTATGACAGTCAATAAAAAAATATAATAATAATAATAATAACAATAATTATCTTTATTGTCCGTATGGAAATTTGTCTTACAATTTGTGCATTACACCAAACAAAAAACTTTATAACTATAAGAAACCAAAGTGTACATTCACACCAGACTCACTCATAATTTACATGTGACAAAGTTTATATCAGATTGTTCTTATTTAATGATTTGATTGCCAGGGGAACAAAAGAGTGTTTGTGTCTGTTTGTCTTTGCCATCGGTGTCTTGTATCTCTTTTGTGATGGTAAAATCACAAAATCCTGACACAAAGGGTAATTCTTTTTTTCGAGGATCTTGTTAGCTCTTTTATAGATGTTTGTCTCAAACAACTGCCCAAATGGGGTTTGTTTTTTGCCAATGATTTTACCAGCAGCATTTAAGATTCTATAAAGTTTATTTTATGATTAGATATTATGGGATTAATTGAGTGACTAAATGCACAAAAATTACATATCAGGTTTAAGAATTCTATGCTAAAGTGGGTTTAATAGAACCCAAG